GGTTACATAAAGTCCATCTGAAATACCATTACAGAAAGAAAGGATTGTTAGGTGAGGTCTTGGAGGTAGGGTAGGTTAGTGTTTTATTTGTAGAGACAGGGTCTCATGTCTCCCATGCTGTCCTCACACTGGCTTTTCAGGTTCAACTTGAGCTTAGGTCGTCCTGCTTCTACTTCACAGGTACTAAAATTACAAGTGAGGCCACCGAGTCCAGTGAGGACAGCAGCGGTCACTGAACCCAGGACTTGCTACATGCTAGTCAGCCACTCTGCCAACTGAGGTTTGTCCAGATCTGATTACTTTATTTTCCTGCTATCCAGAATTTCACTGTAACTCACCAAGGCCAGCAACTGTCCTGCATTTTTCTCTTTGGAGCAGAGTGGAGAGCACAACACTCAGCCTGTGGGCTTTTTCTCCTACTGAACCCACTATGTTAGATTCCTCTGCCAGTTGATCATCACACTGTTGCCAACACCCTGGTGGGTTCTTTCTCTATGTGCTTAGTAATCCAAGGGCAATTTCCTAAAGTTAAGCATGTGGCTTCCATGACTGCACCCTTCTCTCAAGGCTCACACTGTAACCAGCCTACAGATTCTGCCTTAATGTGCTTTCTAACACTGAATTGAGAAGGAGACCTTTCATCATTTATGTTTATTTTAAAGTACTTTCTTGGGAATATTTAATTCCTCATATTGACGAAAAGAGGGTTTTAAGAAGGAATGAGACATACCTAAGCAATCTTTTGAAATGTTAGCTTAGTTCTCAACATGAGAAATGGCATGGGTCTTCTAATCAAGCTAAGGGGGACACTGGGTTTGGAAGAGGGGGTGCTGATTGGCTTCCTCGAAGAAGCTTCTGGAATGGTAAGCTGGGCTTCTGGTCAGTTCAGGAAAGCTAGTTAGCAGGGTGGCAAATGCTGTTAGCCATGACATCAGCGGTCCCATCTCTGGACATTCTATTGTATCCTGGAGATCTCTAGGAATCCCGTGATGTCACCTTGTTGTAGCAACACCAACTGCCATTAGGACGTTCCTCAGTCCCTAGAGGGTAGAGCATCAGTCATGTTCTCAAGACTGAGGTATCGCATATTTGGGAGACAAAATGGAGAAGGTCCAGAGACCAGAGAGAGGCAGAAGAAAGCTGCTGTTCACTTCTGGAAAAGGCCAAGTGAGTAATGGGCAGGAGAAGGTCAGATTGCCGAAGGAGGTGCACTTGAGGTGGAATTTCAAGTAATCGGGCAGAGTAGCTGGAGCCTCAGAGGAGAAAATGGACATCCGTGCTTATAATACTTCCTGAAAGTCAAGGATTCCCAGACATTAGTTTGTCCATCTCCTAAGCCAGAGACGGAGAAGGCCAAGGCTGTTGTCCTGGGACCACCACTTAGTTCTTACCTTTGCTGTGGTTTGGGGTGTAATGTTGGAGTAGAAAGAGACCAGCAGGAGGCAGGGAGGGACTAATGTGTCCCCATCTTTGGTCAGACATCACTACACTACACCTGTAGTAGTTGCCTTTAGGTTCACTGGCTGTCTAACACTGTTCCCATGGAGACAAATGTGCTCCTGGCCAAGACCTTTCATCCTCAGAGTGTTCAGCATTCTGCTCAGCAGAATTCCTCTAACCTCCTTTCCCTGACAGTGACCCCCTTAGGGTTCTGAATCAGCAGTGGAGGATGACAGTTAGATCAAAGGGTGACCAAACTTCTGTCAGAGTTATGGGACCAGGGAAGAGAATGGCTACTGAGTGTAAACTTCAAAGATCTGGGCTGTCAATGGGTGACTGGGTGAGTCTCTTGACCATGAGGGAGCCCTGCCTGACTTTCCAATCCACAGTCATGGGCCATGAGTAACCAGCAATGAGGCCTGGCCTCTTCCTAACACCTGATTACCTGTGCCCTGTGCCATTTTTGTCCTGGCTTCTAAATCACAGCAGGCTTCGGGGCTCGGGACCATGCTGCGTTCTATTCTTCTGTGAATATTCCTGAAGAGGTGGTCTCTGTAGTCTCCTGAAGAATTATAGGGAGGCCGAGGAAAACCCTGGCTGCTTACATAGCCTCATCTCTAGAGTGATGGGAGATTTCAGATGCACAAAGGGGGCATGTCAACCTGGCCTAGTATATTTTCTTTGTCACTGGGTTCCAATATAATTTTCTATGTGGGACTCTGTCAATTTCCTGTGCCTTTTTGCTATGCAATTTCACCTGTTTTCTACCTACACTCAGAATCCTCTAAGGAGCCAGCATCCCATCCAATGCTCCTAAGGAAGAAGCAGGTAAAGATGGAAGAGGAGAGGCTGACCACAGAGCTGCAACTGATGACCAGTGAAAGAAATGACCTGAAAGACCAGCTGATGATCCTCACAGAAGGCACCGTGGGCAATTGGTATCCATTGTTTCAGACTTCATGGGGCTGTAGGCAATGTCAACCTCACCTTCTGCCTTTGAACTCTCTGTTTGTAGGAGGCTCTGCCAAACCTCATTCCCAAATTCTTCTCAGGGTAGAGACAGACATGAAATGTGAGGGGGGAATGAGATGTGGCTTCTAACTTTTCTGCTCTCTCCAAATGAAAAGCAGGGGCTGTGCTTCCAGTCACACAACTCAGGCATTTAGGCCAGTACTGTGTAGTTCCCAGCATGTGTTTGTATAGGGCATGACTTGCAAAGGCTGCTTGCATGAGCTACTACTATCTACTCTTAGTTTGTGGTTAGTCTCTACTTTCCTGGATGTGGTTGTGTGCCAAAAGCCCCTGATAGCAGCTGGAGGGGCCTGGTGTGACTTGGGACATCTCAGAGTCTAACTGGAAGTGCTGGGGCTCATCACAGCTTCTCTCTAGTTTTGTCTATTGTACTCTTAGACCATAGAGCTCTGTGCATATCTTTAGCATCCAATGGGTGATGCTCTCACTCTATGCATTTCTATAGCTCTCCATTTCTCTTTCTCTTGCTCTCTCATGTAAACACGTGTGCACACACACATTTGGAGGTTTGTGAGTTCCTAAACTCTGGGAGCCAGTGATCTGTGGTGGTTTCTCATGATGTCCTTCTCCCACTGTCCAGAAGATGCCACTGCTGAGCCCTGGGAGCCCCACTTGAAGCAAGACTGCTTGTGTCCTACATGCTCACGTTGGTGGCACCTAGATATCCTTATGGGAGTTTATTTCAAAACCCTGCTCTTTGGACTCAAACCAGAACGATGTGCTCTAACTATTCAGTGATTGTCAACCAGGACCCAGAATCAGTGTTCTGAAACAGGAGAAATGTCATCGCAGTGTCTGGTGTATGGAGACATGTGACAGAGACTCCAGGCAGCACAGAGAACTAGACTGATTTTCTAGTCCTATTGAGTGAGGTTATGCAGCCAGGGCACTCCCCATCTCACATGTAACTTCTGCTTTCCTGGAGGACAGAATAACAAGTGTAAAACTATTAGGATGTCCCAGTAGATAGGAAAGAAAATCTTGCATCCACTGGCATATGGTAGATCAGGATATGACTTGAGTTCCTGTGATCCTTGAAGTCTATATACATGGGATCTTTTCTCCCGTTTTCTAGTCCCTACAAGAACCAAAAGCCAAATGCTTTGTTTGAGAAGGTAAAGTTGGATCACAAACAGATCATGATGGAGCTAAACAATTTCGAGAAAGAGAACACTGAGACCTGCGATAATTTCATGGAGCTGAGGAAGGAAACAGTCTTCTATCGGTAAGTGTCCATCTGGACATGGTTCACAAACCTGGTGAAATGGCCATCTCTGAATTCCTTTTTCTGTGGAAGGAGTGTCCACAACTCTGGTTCTAGACTTTTTGCTTCTTAGCAAACAGATCTTGAACTTGTGTCTTTTGGACTCAGTTTTGCTAAGTGTGAAAGAGACTGTTAGCCCTTGCCACTATTGTACTAAGGCCTGAAGAGCCTGTAGATAGAAAAGGTATTTACACTCTCAGGGGAATGACAGGCAGCATTGAACTTCTGGAGTTTAGGCCCATTCTTTACAGGTCTGGGGGCTGAGGAACCTGTAGATAGAATATGCTCACCTTGGGTAACTTGTCTTCCCTTTGAGGGTGTTTGCCCACTACATGCTGATGTTTCCCCATTACCATAGACAATTAGGCCAGCTG